TCTCGGAAAGCACGTAAATCCGTTGATCCTGCGCCTAATCTCTGTCCGGTCGTGTCGGTTTACCGTCCCATCGGATTATGAGAGTGAGGGAATAGAGAGTGCACCTGTGCTTGCGCAAACATTTGGGCACTATAATCCTGTCCTGCGCCGATGACATTATTATTATATAATTACTCTTTGTCGCCTCTTACGATACTCACGGGATGATATGGGGTAGCGGATCCTCTTAATGAATTAGATAGTTAAAAGTACTTACTGACTCTAGAGGAAGTTAGTTCAAATCACACACAACTGTTTATAATCACGGTTAAAAACAAACTAACAGTTAAACTTGGCATCGGGTTAATTGACCGCATTTCTTTTCAAAACTATCTAGTCCGGCGGTTATGTAAATGTTTTGGTAACACATATATAACTATACAAATTTGGTTTTGTATAGTTGTAGCACGAATGGGTCGGCTCGACCGGGGAAGGACCACGCTCTCACAGAATACCAGCGTGAAATAGTAGCTTAATGCTGCTGTATTTCGTATGGTGAGTGTAGAGAACCGGCGACCCATTTTACTGGAAACGAGGCATTCCATCTTAGTCCTCACGGGTGACAACACATCTGCATTTTGATTCGTAATCGAGGATAGATGTAGATGTCTATGGGCCACAGCAACCACTTACCATCAGGTGGACTGTGTGCTCGATTGTCACCCTATCCTATAAAAAAAAATAACATATGGATAAAGCGCCATCTAGTAGTTGCTCTTTTTTCAATCTCCTAAATTTCACTGCCCCATATCATCCCGTGGGTGCCATAACAGGCGACAGAGGGAAACAAATCAGGAGATAGGCAGCATAGGGTCGGCTCGACTACATACTCACGAATTACCAGCGTAAAATAGCAGCTTAATGCTGCTGTGCTTCGTATGGTGAGCGTAGAGAACAGGGGATCCTTTTTACTGGAAACGAGGTATTATACCATCTTAGTCCTTAGGGGTGACAACGTATCTGCATTTTGATTCTCAATTGAGGATAAATGTAGATGTCTATGGACCACAGTATCCAAACATCAGGTGGACTGTATGCTCGTACTAGCGTTACCCTATTCTAGAAAAAAAAAAGAATTGAGATGCAACGTCTCTTCGCAATGCCGGTGTCCATGTGCTGCAGCAGACACTTACCATGAGGTGGACTGTAATTTTGTTTGTCACTTCAAGTCTCCAAAAAAATACGAAAAATTTATATTTTAAAAAAGTAACGATATCTAGATGGTCAAGCAAACAGTTGCATAGATATCGTGATTCAAGGTTTTGTCAACGAAAATGCGCTGGATTTTATTCTGTCTTTGTGCGCCCCTTCTGTGCTGTTCTGCTGTAAACAACCTGAAATCACTGACGGAGTCGATGGGGCAAGAAGTCATTGAAATGGATTCCCCAAAAGGTTACTAGTACTAAAACGAAACATGTGTACAGTTTCACACGCGGTAGAAGTGAAGTTTTTTACGTGGTAGAGCCACGCTGCAGCTATATTACTGGTATAATTGCAGCACGAATAGGTCGGCTGGACCAGATAAAAACCACGCTCTCACAGAATACCAGCGTAAAATAGCAGCTCCACGTTACTGTTTCGTTTGGTGAGTGTAGAGAACCGGAGAACCTTTTTACTGGAAACGAGGCATTCCATCTTAGTTCTCACGGTGGATAACCCATTTGCATTTTGATTCGTAATTGAGGATAGATGTAGGTGTCTATGAACCGCAGCAACCACGCGTTTGTCGCCTTTATCCTATAAAAAGGGTAGGGTTTATTTATTATAATAATTTTTCCAAGTTTTAAAATTATTTTACATTTTATTACACATATACTTAATACGTATTATATTATACAGATTCCAAGTATTCAATTTCAACATCGTAAGTATTCAATCTATAAAAACTAGATTGTACAACCAGTGCGTGTTGCCAGTGATGACTTACGGATCAGAGACGTGGTCCTTCACTGCTGGCCGTATGAGGACGCTCAAGGTCGCTCAGCGAGCTATGGAGAGGGCTATGCTCGGAGTTTCTCTGCGTGATAGACTCAGAAATGAGGATATCCGCAGTAAAACCAGAGTGACCGACATAGCCCAACGGATTAGTAAGCTGAAGTGGCAATGGGCCGGCCATATAGCTCGAAGAACCGATAACCGATGAGGAAGAAAGGTTTAGGGCGACCCCCCACTAGATGGAGTGACGACCTGGTAAGACATGCAGGAAGTCGATGGATGCAGGTAGCTCAGGACCGTGCTTTGTGGCATTACTTGGGGGAGGCCTATGTTCAGCAGTGGACTTGTGAAGGGCTGTAATGATGATGATGATGAAGTATTTATATTTTCGTCTTTCGTCCTTACAGCTCATAGATCACATGCATAATCTCCATACATAACACGAAACACTGTATACTGTATTCTATATCATTCTCTCGCAGGCTAAATCCTATAGATGTATGTTTGTCTTTTTTTATGTCACTTTTTGAATTAAATAGGCTATATGTGAAGTGCGGTCCCATTCCCACTTAATTTTGAAGAAAAATCAATCCCATAATTTACTCTTATTTTTTTCTTACAATTATTTATATGAATTATAATAGAACCAGCACGGTAGCGATCACTTCATTCCCATGGATAATTTTCATTCATGTATTCCTTAATATTATTATAACACTTGTATATATTGAATAAAACTATTATTTACGGATTTTATCGCGTTTAGTTACAACTTTAATTTATTTTTTATTATTCCGACGTTCCGGGTGCTTTACAGCACCCATGGTCACGGGGGGACTGAGATGTTTGACGTCCCAATGTCATAGTTAGTCCGGCTACCTTCAGTTTTTGACTATTAATTTTTGGTCCGATTTACGCAAAACGAGCTTATAGTATCATGAAGTCTTGCAGTGGTATGCTTGGGATTTTATACAGTTTTTGTTTTGTAAATTTTTTAAACTTGGTGATTGACAAACATTGAAAATTTTCTAGGATTTTGTTGTAAAAGCGTATACTTCACCGACCACATGAACCGTGTTATGGCGGTGTAAGAATAATCACTACTCCATATCAGGGCGAAAGCGGGAGAGGGAAACTGAAGCAAGAGTTGGGCAGTAGCATCTTTCTATAACAACTCAAAGTAATTAAAAACTGCAGTTGCCAATCGGCCTGCCAAGCTTGGCGACTATGGCAAAATCCTCCCTATCAGGCAACCTGAAGATTTCCATCTATGTTCAGCGGTAGACTTCTGTAAGATATAATGAATACATTGCCCCATATACTGGATGACCTTTTTTACCGTCTGGAAAAAATAGGATGTAACATGTGAACGGAGTACAAGCCTATGGCACTGATACCTTACAAAAAATAAAAATAAGAATTTTAAATTTAATTAATTAATTAATTAAGGTCTATCGAATTCAAATCATATCCACCCTACTTTACGAACGCCAATAAAACTTACCTTTTACCTAGGCTGTGACCTTGCGAAGTGACTAGGCAAAGATGCGTAGTAAATTTATTGTTTTATTGGTGTTCGTAAAGTAGGGTGGATATGATTTGAATTTCGATGGAATTTAATTAATTAATTTAATTCAAAATTTTTGTTTTTATTTTTTTGTAAAATATCAGTGCCATAGGCTTCTACACGATTCACTTGTTACCCTATTTTTTCCAGACGGTAAAAAAGGTCAGCCAGTACAATCACTAATTCTGTTGAATCTGGTAACTGGCATAACAAGCATGTATTTGTTCCTAGTACTCAAAGTATGAAGAAGTATATACCTATATATACATACCTCTGTTCCTATCAGCTGAAGTAGCTGAAGTAGCAGATAGACTGTTAGTTGTGTTCATCACTTCCGTTTTTTTTAATTATTCTAAGTCAGCGCACTACCCCACCTGAGGGTAAGTGGTGATGTAGCCTACGATGGTGAAGCGAAAGGAACTTATCAAAAGCCTATTCACTGTTGATATTTTTATATAGAATAAGGGTGACAAACGAGCACACAGTCCACCTGATGATAAGTGGATGCTGTGGCCCATAGACATCATTTATCCTCGATTAAAAATCAAAACGCAGATGCATTGTCACCCCTGAGGACTAAGATAGAATGCCTCGTTTCCGGTAAAAAGGGTCTCCCGTTCTCTACACTCACCATACGAAACACAGCAGTATTTAGCTGCTATTTTACGCTGGTATTCTGTGAGAGCGTGGTCCTTCCGCAGTCGAGCCGACTCATTCGTGCTACAACCATAATATAGCTGCAGTGTGGCTCTACCACGTATGAAATGAAGCTTGAAGACACCCACGCTGTAATCGGATGTAAAGACAATTGTATAATAAAAAACACTGTCATCGACACCTTACCTGTCTAATTAGCACCATTTCTCTACTAAGGCTTACGTTACCGTTACGGTCTTTCAAAGTCCACTGCTGAACATAGGCCTCCCCCATAAATTACCTCATAGTCATTTGCCATAGTTGCCACGCTTGAAAAGCGGTTGGGAAACCGCAGTTTTTTATTTTTACTTGTCATTAGGAAGAATGTTTTACGTGGTAGAGCCACGCTGCAGCGTATTATAGTAGTAGCTCGAATGGGTCGGCACGATCGGGGCAGGACCACGCTCTCACAGAATACCAAGCGTGAAATAGCAGCGTAATGCTGCTGTGTTTCGTATGGTGAGTGTAGAGATCCGGAGACCCTTTTTACTGGAATCGAGGCATTACATCTTAGTCCTAAGGGATGACAATGCATCTGCGTTTTGATTCTTAATCGAGGATAAATGATGTCTATGGGCCGCAGCATCCACTTACCATCAGGTTGACTGTGTGCTCGTTTGTCACCCTTATTCTATATAAAAATGGCAACAGTGAATAGGCTTTTGATAAGTTCCTTTCGCTTCACCATCGTAGGCTACATCACCACTTACCCTCAGGTGGGGTAGTGCGCTGACTTAGAATAATTGAAAAAAAAACGGAAGTAATGGACACAACTAACAGTCTATCTGCTACTTCAGCTACTTCAGCTGATAGGAACAGAGGTATGTATATATAGGTATATACTTCTTCATACTTTGAGTACTAGGAACAAATACATACTTGTTATGCCAGTTACCAGATTCAACAGAATTAGTGATTGTACTGGCTGACCTTTTTTACGAAAAATAGGAACAAGGAAGCCTACACATTCGCATTTTAATTCTTAAAGTAAAGTAAAGTTACAGCCTATATACGTCCCACTGCTGGGCTCAGGCCTCCCCTCATTTCTGAGAGGGTTTAGGGCAAGGAAGTGTCCGCCGCGCTGCCCAAATGCGTGTTGACGAACTTCACATGTCTTCGAAATATTTTTTTTCTTATTCCTCTGACATGCAGGTTTCCTCACGATGTTTTCCTTCACCGCCGAGCACGTGGTAAATCAGCACTTAAAATTGCAATTAACAATTTCATTGGTGGGATCGAACCCGGGTTACTCGCGTTCTGTTATATTTACAGCGAGCGTTAACCACTGAGCTATTCTTAATTGGGGGTAAATGTGGATGTCTATGGGCCACAGCATCCACTTACCATCAGGTCATTGCTATAAAAAAGACGCTGTCTTGATTTGTTACCCACTGTCGCCTCTTACGACACACACGGGACTATGGGGTAATAGATATTCTTGCACTGTCACTATATTGTTAAAGTTTTAACTACACGACATTTTAGAACTACCATCAGACATAGAAGAAGAACCTTCCGCAGAGAGAGACATTGACATCAAACCAATCACAACGCTCCTGCCCGCTACCAAGAACAATCTGAAAAAGACTTCCACGGTATGTGAGTTTCGATCGCTGTATAAAGAAATAGTGGTGCCGTGTGTTTTCGGGGAAGTTAATTTGCGTATTTTATCAAATTTACCACCGGGAGTGCTCTGTAGAATTGTTCGGACTAACTCCAGCCGCACGATTTCACCATCGCACATCGCGACGAAACTCGTGATACCATCCATACCATCTGGATGACTGGCGGTCCACCACTGTGCGATTTAAAAGAAGTTTTCTTCCTCATACAACTTCCTTGTGGAATCGACTACCACCAGAGGTTTTTTCGGATCGATACGCTTTAGGGACCTTCAAGAAAAGAGCCTACTCGTTTTTAAACAGCCGGGAACGCATTTGCGATTCTCCTGGTGTAGCAGTTGATCATGAGCAACGGTAATCACTTACCATTAGGTGAGCCACATGCTCGTTTGCCACCTCTCCTATAAAAAAAATATTTATTCATAAAAAAAGGGTGACAAACGAACACACAGTCCACCTCATAATAAGTGGATAAAATAGCCCATAGAAATCTAGATTCAATTAAGAGTCTAAATGCAGATGCGTTCCCACACCTGAGGACTAAGATGGAATGCCTCATTTCTATCACACCGATTTGTTCCTGTTTTTCTTACTATAAGCCAGTGTTTCACCACAAACTCATCTGGTGGTGAGTGGTGATGAACCATAGATAGTAAATCTGTCTGAACTGTGTTAACGTAACAAAAGCCTATTTATTCTTGCCTTAAAGACGGCCAGTTTATATTTGAACGGAAAGACAGACGTCAGCAAACAATTCCACTCTTTTGTTAAGTAGGTGGCTTCATAGGAATTCATAAGCAATTAGGGGCATCGCGGAAGGTCTTGTAATATTCACAAAATGGTGGAACAGAATATATGTACGTGATAGAGTCAGGCTGCAGTTACAGTATGGTTATAGTTCGATCTGGGAAAACCACACTCTCACATAATACCATTGTAAAATAGCAGCATAACAGACATACGAAACATAGCAGTATTTCGTATTGTGTGTGTGTAGAGAACGGGAGACCATTTTTACTGGAAACGAGGTACTACTTATACTCTCAGGAGTGACAGTTCATCTGTATTTCGATTCTTTATCCACGCCATCCACTTACCACCTTAAAGTTAAACTTACGGCCTATGTACGTCCCACTCCTGGGCACAGACCTCCGCTCATTTTCGAGAGGGTTTTAGGGCAAGTAATTGTGCGGCGCGATGCCCTAATGCGTGTTGGCGAACTTCACATGACTTCTAAATATTTGTTTCCTCACGATGTTTTCTTTCACCGCCGAACAAGTAATAAATAGTAAATCAGCACTTAAAATTGCAATTAACTATTTCATTGGTACTGGCAGGGGTCGAAACCAGGTTGCTCGCGCACTGTAAAATTTGCAGCGAATACTAACCATCCGAGCTACCACGGCATTAACACCGACTAGAAATAAAACTTATTTCTATTATTGGTTTAAATCAGCAAGAAAACCAGCAGGAACTTTTTTCAAAATAACTTGTGATAATTTAACAAGAGCCTGGCAGGGCCCACTTCATGCCTAAGTGCTATTATTAACTTTGACTGCCTATTTGGTCTAGTAATCATAAGTCCGACTGCTAATCGTGTGGTCCCAAGTTCAAGTCCTGGGTGATGCTCACAAAACTTATGTCAGCAAGAAAACCAGCAGGAACTTTTTTCAAAATAACTTGTGATAATTTAACAAGAGCCTGGCAGGGCCCACTTCATGCCTAAGTGCTATTATTAACTTTGACTGCCTATTTGGTCTAGTAATCATAAGTCCGACTGCTAATCGTGTGGTCCCAAGTTCAAGCCCTGGGTGATGCTCACAAAACTTATGTCAGCAAGAAAACCAGCAGGAACTTTTTTCAAAATAACTTGTGATAATTTAACAAGAGCCTGGCAGGGCCCACTTCATGCCTAAGTGCTATTATTAACTTTGACTGCCTATTTGGTCTAGTAATCATAAGTCCGACTGCTAATCGTGTGGTCCCAAGTTCAAGTCCTGGGTGATGCTCACAAAACTTATGTCAGCAAGAAAACCAGCAGGAACTTTTTTCAAAATAACTTGTGATAATTTAACAAGAGCCTGGCAGGGCCCACTTCATGCCTAAGTGCTATTATTAACTTTGACTGCCTATTTGGTCTAGTAATCATAAGTCCGACTGCTAATCGTGTGGTCCCAAGTTCAAGTCCTGGGTGATGCTCACAAAACTTATGTCAGCAAGAAAACCAGCACGAACTATTTTCAAAATAACTTGTGATAATTTAACAAGAGCCTGGCAGGGCCCACTTCATGCCTAAGTGTTATTATTAACTTTGATTGCCTATTTGGTCTAGCAATCATAAGTCCGACTGCTAATCGTGTGGTCCCAAGTACAAGTCCTGGGTGATGCTCACAAAACTTATGTCAGGATGTTAGCGATGTTTCCCCCTTGTGCCTCACAAAGCACGTAAAACCGTTAGTCCAGCGCTTGATCTGTCACCGGGCTACAAGAGTGAGGCAATAAAGTGCACCTGTGCTTGCGTATACACTCGTGCACTATAATCCTGTCCTGGGCCGATGGCTAGTCTTTGTTGAGACCTGTCGCCATGACCGAAACTCGATCTGGAGGACATTATTATTAAGTGGAAGATGCTGCTGCCCATCTCCTGTTTCAGTTTCCCTCCGTCAACTCTTACGACACCCACGGGCTGATATGGAGTAGTGGATATTCTTACATCGCCACTACACGCTTCTAAGTTCCTCGAAAGGTAATAAATAATTTATTACTTTGCAACCTTCCGCTAACCAATTACAATGATGTGTCTTACCTGGACCGCTTAGCGGTCAGTCGCCTTAGAGTCTACATTATCTGAGGATGCCTCGTGTAGAGGCGAACCACGTGTCGTATTGTCGTTGATGGTGTGTCTTACCTGGAATAGTGGTGTTGGAAGTAGTGGTGCCGGGAGTAGCGGTGTTGGGAGTAGTGGTGCTGGGACTAGTGGTGACGGAGTTAGTGCATGCAATTGAGGGAGGGCGGGAGGTGCCCTTCAATCCAGGTAAGACACATCATTGTAATTGGTTAGCGGAAGGTTGCAAAGTAATAAATTATTTATTATAATGGATTTCCGCAAATTAACGCCTGATTCTATCAATTATCCTCGAAAGGTGTCACGATGGTCTACATTTTGACCAAACCGCTCACATTTCAAATTAAATTTCAGACTAAAGAAGATCGACGCAAGTCACAACAAACAATAAACAAAGAAGCGGCAAAAATCGACCGCTTACAGCAAGAAGAAGAAGCCAGAATAGAAAAGGAGTTGGCAGAACTTTATAAGGATTCCGCAGGTAGAGCACGTGAGCGATCCACCCCGGATTCGCACGGCTGATTTCTGGATCTCGACAATAGCGCCACCTGCCGGGTTCAAGTGTGAAACTAAACTATCCAGGAACCCACACAAACACACACTAAAAGTTTCATCAAAATCATTCAAGCTATTTTCGAGTTTTAGCGTGACTGAAAAAATCTTTTCTCTCTTTTTTTATATTAGCAGATGCAATATATAAATATTATATACCCTATTTCTCTCCCATAATTAGGCAGAATATAACTACATCTCATATGTTTAATTCCATCAAGCTGTTGAGTCTACACACAGAGCGTGCCAAAAATAAACACATAGATGTACATACTCTCGAAAAACATAATTCTTCCGATGAAGACGCGTTTTTTTTTAAAAGATTAAGGGTGACAAACGAGCACACAGTCCACCTGATGGTAAGTGGATGTTGTGGCCCATAGACATCTACATTGATCTTCAATTAAGGATCAAAATGCAAAATATTATCCAAAAAGCCTGGTTTTCTTTTTTTTTTTTTTTTTGAAAAATCCAAAAATAACATACATATGTCGTATATGACATATATGGTTTTTGATAATAATAATTAACTTAAATCTAACTGAACTGATGGTAGCCGGAATTACTATGACATTGGGACGTCAAACATCTCAGTACCCCCGACCCCCCGTGACCATGGGTGCTGTAAAGCACCCGAAACGTCGGGAATTAAAAGATAAAACCCGCATAATATACAGTTTTATTCAAATTTGTCACTGATTCTTTTTTATATTATTTATTCATCTATTTAATTTCAGACTACAAGGCGGATAGCGTGGAAATTTCCAAAGAACCAAGCGTAGCTACCAACGGGACCACGCAAGCACTTCCAGAAGTTACTACAGAAGAAACCATGAAACCAATTGCTAGAGCACGGGACGAGTATGTTATTTTTAACCTGAACTCGGTTATACAATAAAAATACCCTCCCAACTACACATTTATCAACTTATGCAATTATAATAATTTATTTATTTTATTTATGCATTAATCTTTTATCAATAACACGAAAACATTTCTCTAATAGAAGTTAATATTGTTTAAAATATTTAATATCTTACAATACTTTAATTCAGTTTTTATCATTGAGTTAGCAGCTTAACTATAAGCTTAACTACCATCCACGCTTCTGATTTCTGATTCGTCCCCTCGCTCAAGGCCCGCGATAGAAGCTATGCAATAGCTTAATAATAATAGCAAGGTTCTATATTCGACGAATATGTCTTTCATATACTCACTGATCCATCATCATCATCATTACAGCCCTTCACAAGTCCACTGCTGAACATAGGCCTCCCCCATGTAATACCACAAAGCACGGTCCTGAGCCACCTGCATCCATCGACTTCCTGCATATCTTACCAGGTCGTCACTCCATCTAGTGGGGGGTCGCCCTACACTACGCCTACCGGTACGAGGCTGCCACTCGAGAACCTTTCTTCCCCATCGGTTATCGGTTCTTCGAGCTATATGGCCGGTCCATTGCCACTTCAGCTTACTAATCCATTGGGCTATGTCGGTCACTCTGAGAACTGAAGCTAACTGATCCATACTACAGCTATAATGTGTTTGTAGCACGAATGGGTCGGCTCGACCGAAGTAGGGCCACGCTCTCACAGAATACCAGCGTTAAACAAGAGCTTAGTGCTGCTGTTTCGTGTATTAAGTGGAGAGAACCAGAGACCCTTATTACTGGATACAAGGCATTGAACCTTTGCCTTCAGGGGTGACAACGCATGTGAATTTTGAATCTTAACCGGAGTAAATGTAGATGTCTGTGGGCCACATGATCCAATTACCATCAGGTGGACTGTGTGCTCATTTGTAATCCTTATTACATAAAAAATGTTTTTTGTTTAGACTGCTGAATCGATTTTTCAATTAAATAGGCTGTACTTGAAGTGTGGTCTAAAAAATCCTTCCCTAAGTAAGGAAAATAAGCCTTGAACTTATGACATTCTTTAAAACAATCATCAAAACAAAAAATATTATAACATTCAGGCTTATTACGAAAAAAAAATATAGTTAATCTTAGTGCAAACCTAGAGTATGCTATTAAAAAGTCCAGTATAAAAATGTAAAGTATGCAGTTTAATAGCAAATGCCTTTTTTTACTTATTGTGGAATGTTAATGGCGCGATTTAGGCTTCGGTGTGTTTCGGTGTGCTAGTGGCGCGACGACAGCGCCGCTACATCACCCCCTGCTCAGACCGGAGGCCGATAGTGCAGTCTCGTTGTCGATGAATGTGCAAGTGCCAGGAGATTGCCTTGTAGTCTGCGGTGAGTCGAGAAGAAGGCAAGTAATCTGCGAGAGTGCCGTGAAGCAGAGGTGAGCAGTAAGGCTCAGAGCCGTGCCGAACACTGTATAGCGCAGAGAGTAGCTTGAAGGAACAGGAAGCATTATTATTCCAGTGCTGCGATGAACCTTGTGAAGCTAGATGGCTTGCAGGATATGAAGACTGCAGACGACGATATCTGCTCGGGAGCGAATGGGTGGGGTATTCTATGACGATGATGAAGCTTGAAGTTTCCGAAGGTTGTTTGGTTGCATGTTCAGTGACGTCGGGTGGTCACCACTGTGGCCATGGAAGGAAAAGGGGAGATCTCCCGCCGGGCAAGGTGTTCTGCCCGGGGAGCGGCCAACACTCCGTGTGATAGTTCGGAGATGTTCTATATATACTGTTTCATGATTCGGAATGTTAATGGCGCGATTTAGGCTTCGGTGTGTTTCGGTGTGCTAGTGGCGCGACGACAGCGCCGCTACAGAGCTATCAAGTCCAATCAGTAACTTTAAGAAAGCATATTTTTATCAAACGATCAACATTTGTTTTCATTCAATTATATGAAGATATACCCTAGGTTCCTAGGCATATTTGCCTAAACAGTTTCTGATGTTTGAAATTCCGTCGGAAAAAAACATATTTATTGGCCAATCAGAAATACGAAATAGTGTTCGAAAACAGTGTCAAATTTATTTTTATTACAAAAATTGTTTTAGTCGTTTCGTCGCATTTGTTCTATTAAAACATTAGTATAAAACACTTAAAATCGTTAATATAGCTGTAACAAAAACCTATTTAACCTTGCCTTGATGCTCGGATTGTATTCGGACGGAAAGACGGACGCCGGCAAATTATTCTACTCCTTTGCTGAACGGGTAAAAAGGTTCTCGAGTGGCAGCCTCGTACTGATAGGCGTAGTGTAGGGCGACGCCCTACTATAGTACGTTTCTAAGGCAGGCGGAAAAAAGTACATTGACCTTTGACGATAACATCGGCGTAGGCACTAGGCAGTCTTTTTTGTTTAGGTTCATTTTCTTATCCTTTTATCGTTAGTCATTACATACATCATCAGAGTGAAAGATAAGGGTGCCGAGTGCGAAGTTCTTTACAGGACCTATGTCTACTATTATATAATAAAGAAAAAAGATTATCCTGTATCTAAATGAATTAAAAATCAAATGAATATTAATTTAAGTTTATTATTTATAAATCATGAGGTATTACGATTTTCATTATTACGTTAATAGTAGGTAAGTACTTTAATAAGTAGGTAGATAGGTAGTTGTATAAAACATAAACACTTCTAGGCAGTCAGGTAAAAAGACGAACTATTAATGCTAAGCATTCTTAAGCAGCCAATCTTGAAGCATGCATAAAACTTCTCATAATAGATTTTCAGAGACACTTGACAGACTATTCATCTGTATCTATTTCAGAATCATTTTATGAAGATGAAGACGTAGAAGAGTCCGCCACATTGATTATAACCTAAAATATATTGATTATAACCTAAAATATAGGCAGTCTTCTTTTTCATATCCGTTTTGGATGGATATACGTCACTAGACCACGTTCTTTTACATATTTATAGATGTTTACAATCATTATTTTTTCGGTTTCCGAAATTTGCGAGACTTTCCGCTTCTTTCGTGGTGACGTAAAGTCTTTATGAGATTTTCATGTCGATGGACCCGATTTCATACTAGTGATAATATACAAAACGTCACAAAACAATAACAAAACCTTTAATACAAAACGTAATAATACAACTAACAAAACAAACTTAATAAAAATTAAAACAATTACTATAACCGAAAATTTTAAATCTCAAACTATCTACACGCAAGCGCTTCCCAAATCAGAACGAGGAATGAGTTCTGCTCCATCCGCTTTCTCAAATACGCACGGCGTGTGACCTATCGCAAATCGCGTCGAAACAGGTTTATTATCTCTGAATGACCGCTTCCTTCACCCTACCCCGTACCATGAGATACGCTTGGCGCATAAGGATACGTAATCTATAAAGAAATTTATGGAAGCAATAACTGTCGTTTTGTTCCGATGCTAAAATAATACTTGAGGTCAATGTACTTTTTTCCGCCTACCCTAGAAACGTACTATAGATATAGTGACGACCTGGTAAGACATGCAGGAAGTCGATGAATGTAGGTGGCTCAGGACCGTGCTTTGTGGCATTCTTTGGGGGAGGCCAAGAAAGCCTAAATTGAGAAGTTGTAACGTCCCGTTTCAAACCGTGGTTTTATCTCTTAGGCATGTAGGTTTCCTCACGATGCTTTCCTTCACCACCGAGCACGTGGTAAACCAGCACTTAAAATTGCAATTAACAATTTCATTGGTGCTGGCGGGGATCGGACTCGGGTTGATCGCGTACAGTGAAATTTACACCGAGCGCTTAGCCCCTGAACTACCAAAATTAAAAAAGAGATAAAATAAATGGTCTTTGATGTTCCTAAATCTAAATAACGCCTCAATAATAATAATAATAATAAGGAGGGACAAAAGTGACCCACCTTTTCCATATGGATGACCTCAAGTTATTCGCCTCCAGTCGCTCCCATCTTATGGAATTGCTAAACATCACTTGTGAATTTAGCAATTCCATTGGAATGGAGCTGGGGACGGATAAGTGTGCGGTCCTCCATGTTGAGAGGGGTAGGGTTGCTAACTCTGAGGGCATAGACTTATTTATGCCCGTCAACTTAAGGACCCTTTCCGAGGCTGAAATATACCGATACCTGGGTATGTCACAGAACATCGGTATCGATGAGGCTGGTATGAAACAGTCAGTTTGCGACGTGTTTTATGCACGCTTGACCAAAGTGCTTAACAGCCTTTTGTCCGGTGTGAATAAGACACAAGCATATAACGGATGGGTCATGCCTGTCCTCATGTATACCTTTGGCATACTCAGGTGGACTCAGACTGAACTTAACGCCCTGGATAGAAAAGTCCGCACTACCATGACGTCCCACAGGATGCATCATCCGAGATCGTTGGTAATGAGGCTGTACTTGCCGCGAAAGCATGGCGGGCGTGGCTTCTTGAGCGCGCTCACCATGCATAATCGCGAAGTGTGCAGCCTCCGTAATTACTTCCTGGCGAGATCGGATGATCCATTCTATAAGGACGTCATTTCTTGTGATAAAGGACTTACCCCTCTATCCTTAGCCAACGAGCAATGGCAAGACCCGGCAGTGCAGAGCATTTCCGACCGGGAGACCGTATGGAAGGAGAAGGAGCTCCACGGGAGGTTCTACAAGTCTCTACATGAGCCTTTCGTAGACACAGTAACCTCCCTCCACTGGCTACGCTTTGGTGACCTCTTCGGGGGAAACCGAGGGTTTTGTCTGTGCAATACAGGATCAGGTTATTAAGACCAACAACTATCGGAGATACATCCTAAAGGATGGCACCATCGACATCTGTCGAGCTTGTCGCCATCCCGGTAAGTCACTTAGGCATGTTATCTCCGGTTGTTCGGCGCTTTCTAACTCTGAGTACTTGCACAGGCACAACCTAGTAGCCAGAATTCTACACCAGGAGCTCGCTCTGAAATACGGTCTCGTGGATCGGAAATTGCCGTATTACAAGTACTTGCCGGAAGCCGTGCTCGAAA